TACTTTACTTTTATTGTCCTCTTGAAATGTTCCCAAAAGAATTCTTATCATGTAAAGGACCGTACATGTCGACCTCTTCCACTGCCTCCACTAACAAACTTTCCTCATGAACCTCCACTGCCGCTATTTGCACTTGCCCAGGAAGGTCAAAGTCCCCCATGACCCCTGGAAGCACGGTCCCAAGGACTTGGGCAGTATCCGGTAGAACTAAGCGGTCGTAGTGGTGGAAGAGGGCCCCTGGTAAAATCGCTCTGGCCTCCACGGCTTTCATTTTAAGTTCCTCTAGGAGTATTCTGAGCACTCCAGCTGGAGCCTCTTGTTCCCTCCTGACGACTATAGTTTCCTTTTGAAGCAGGTGGTGTGAAAAACCTGTTCTGACTGTGAAAAGCACCCTGTCCTCCTCGATTGCCTGAAAATCCACCACGAGAAGAAATCTTCTGTGAGACTTTGAGTGGTCGTTTTGGTGGAGGTATTCCATCTTGAGGGACCACTTCCTTACTTTCAGCTGCAACAAAGTCATCCACATGCATAGATGGTGGTCTGCTTGTGTTCTGTTTCCTCTGATGAAAAATATCATGGGGCCGAATACCCTGTCCAAACCCTCCCCTGCCCCTTCCTCTTGGTGGTGGCACAACATGGGCTCGTTTGGCAGGTTCAATGTATTCAGATTTCCCACTTGAAGTTATAAAGGTCTTATGTTTGTGCTTTCTGAGTTTGAATCCTTTTGTAGTCTTGTTTCTCCCTGGAGATGATGGTTCTGACAGACATGAACGCTCTAATTCTGAGTGCAGGTCAAAGTCACTACAGCATTTTTCAGAGAGCTCTATTAAGTCCACCTTTACCAAGTACAGATCTGTATCAATCTCTTCAGCCTGAAATGGAGTGAACCACCTAGATTTCCACTGATCATCCATGACATCAGCTAGATCATAGGCAGTCCTATTGTTAAACAGATTCTGGAGAGATTCTGGAGCTGACAGTACTGGTTCTATATCCTGGTCACTAAGAGGTAAAGGGTCACCTGATGACTCCAGCATCTGCTTAAGTCCAACTACATTGCCCAACAAAGAATCCAGATTGTCATCATCCTTTGAGTGTTCCATTGTGTCAGAGCTAAGAATTTATCTCATAAATTCCAAAAATGAAGATGCAAGTTCACCTGTGTCCTAACTAAATGTGCTGACCACTCGTTTCAGTAAACTATGCAGAGCATTACTGTTTTTCCTTAAAGAACTTTTTAAATGAAATAATCCATAATCATGCTCTGCAAGAAACATCATTGTTCTGACACATGTCAATAAACAGTTGTAACTGCTCTCAGAGTTAGCTAGCATAGCTAGTAGACAGTCACAAATTGAAGTAATCAATTCTTTGTTTGGAAGAGAATTGGAAAGCTGCTCCAGTTCAGAAACAGAACCTTCAGAAGAGTTTGGCAAAATAAGTGTAATGTCCTGATCACAAAGAGACTGCAAAATGGATGTGATATATTCAACACACTGTTGGCAAATAACACTGTCTCCAGGAGACCGCACCAAAGCTAACAGATCCTGGAATATTTCTGCATATCTTTCATCACCTTTAATAGTTCCATTAATTAGGTGCAAAATAGCTAATTTACAAGCTGTGTGTGAAGCCAGAGCATCAAGAAGAGCAAGCAACCTGGTGTATTGGCTGGTATACTGTTTTTCTTTATCTTCTAAAGTGCTTTGTAAGTCTTCTACAATCAAATACAATAGAGTTATCATAATTGGAAGTGCAGTTGGTGAGGCAAGGTCACACAATTGAACACAAATATGCCATAACATATGTTGCATAGGCTGGCACGTTGTGCCAGAGAAAGAGCGAACTATTTCTTGTCCAAGAGATTTTTGCCTATGTTTTTTTCTAAGTTTTATGGTTTCATGACTTACATTCAGGTCTTTGATGCATTTTGAATTTACTTTTGTGTATAGGATTAGACAGTGATCCAGTTTCATTCTCTTACATGTAGTTGTCCAGTTTTGCCAGCACCATCTGTTGAAGAGACTGTCATTTCCCCATTGTATGTCCATGGCTCCTTTATCATATATTAATAGACCGTAAATGTTTGGGTTAATATCTGGGGTCTCTATTCTGTTCCACTGGTCTTTAGCTCTGTTATTGTGCCAGTACCAAACTGTCTTGATTACTGTGGCTTTGTAGTAGAGCTTGAAGTTGGGAATTGAGTTCCCCACTGCTTTATTCTTCCTTCTCAGGATTGCTTTGGCTATTTGGGGTGTTTTGTGGTTCCATATGAATTTTAGAATTATTTTTTCCAGTTTATTGAGGAATGCTGTCGGTATTTTGATAGGGATTGCATTGAATCTGTATATTGCTTTAAGCAGGATGGCCATTTTGACAATATTAATTCTTCCTAGCCAAGAGGATAGGATGAGTTTCCATTTCTTAGTGTCCTCTTTAATTTCTCTCAAGAGTATCCTGTAGTTTTCAGAGTATAGGTCTTTCACTTCCTTGGTTAAATTTATTCCTAGGTATTTTATTCTTTTTGATGCAATTGTGAATGGAACTGTTATCCTTATTTCTTCTTCTGCTAGTTCATCATTAGTGTATAGGAAAGCAACAGATTTCTGTGTGTTAATTTTGTATCCTGCAACTTTGCTGAATTCTGATATTAGTTCTAGTAGTTTTGGAGTGGAGTCTTTGGGGTTTTTTATGTATAATATCATGTCATCTGCAAATAGTGAAAGTTTGACTTCTGTTTGACCAATCTGGATTCCTTTTATTTCTTTGTTTTTTCTGATTGCTGTGGCCAAGACCTGAGTACTATGTTGAATAACAGTGGGGAGAGTGGGCATCCCTGTCTTGTTAGCAATCTCAGAGGAAAAGCTTTCAGCTTTTCACTGTTCAGTATGATGTTGGCTGTGGGTTTATTATATATGGCCTTTATTATGTTGAGGTACCTGCCCTCTATACCCATTTTGCTGAGAGTTTTTATCATGAATGGTAGTTGAATTTTGTCAAATACTTTTTCAGCATCTATGGAGATGATCATGTGGTTTTTGTCCTTCTTTTTGTTGATGTTGTGGATGATGTTGATGGATTTTCAGATGTTGTACCATCCTTGCTTTCCTGTGATGAATCCCACTTGGTCATTGTGTATGATCCTTTTGATGTATTTTTGAATTCGGTTTGCTAATATTTTGTTGAGTATTTTTGCATCTACATTCATCAGGGATATTGGTCTGTAATTTTCTTTTTTGGTGGGGTCTTTGCCTGGTTTTGGTATTAGGGTGATGTTTGCTTCATAGAATGAGTTTGGGAGTATTCCCTCCTCTTCTATTTTTTGGAAAAGTTTAAGGAGAATGGGAATTATATCTTCTCTGTATGTTTGATAAAATTCCAAGGTGAATCCATCTGGCCAAGGCGTTTTGTTCTTGGGTTACTTTTTTGATTACCACTTCAATTTCTTTGCTGGTAATTGGTTTGTTTAGATTTTGTGTTTCTTCCTTGGTCAGTCTTGGAAGGTTGTATTTTTCTAGGAAGTAGTACATTTCTTCCAGGTTTTCCAGCTTCTTAGCATATAGGTTTCCATAGTAGTCTCTAATAATTCTTCGTATTTCTGTGGGGTCCGTTGTGATGTTTCCTTTCTCATTTCTGATTCTGTTGTGTGTTGATTCTCTTTTTTTCTTAATAAGTCTGGCTAGAGCTTCATCTATTTTGTTTATTTTCTCAAAG